TTAAATTACAAGGGGCTAGGGATATGGCTCAAGCGGTAGCGCGCTCGCCTGGCATGCGTGGGGTCCGGGTTCGATCCTCAGCACCACATACCAACAAAGATGTTGTGTCCGCCAAAAACTAAAAAATTCTCTTTCTCTCTCTTTAAACAGTCTTTAAAAAAAAAAATAAATTACAAGAACTTTATCTTGAGAAACCTAATTAACCTAATTAACTTTGGGTCCCCCCACCTTTTGGATTGTAAATAACTATCTCTAGGAGTCTTCCTACTCCTTTTTGAAATGTAAGCAGCCCTGTCTTGTGGCTCTGGAGAGATTTAGCAGGTGCCTGTGAAAAAAAAAAGTGAGTTTCTCTTACTGCTTTTTGTTTTGTAAACAGGCTTCCCAATAGAAACCCCCAGGGAAGGCCTTCTGTCATGCAGACTAGAAATTATAGGGCACCAAATAGCGGTTAAGTATTGTTTGGAAAGTGGTGCGGATTTAGTTTGTTTTCCTCTGGGCCCACCAACATAAAATAAAGTTTGGAGTTCTTCTCTCCAAGTGCTGCTTCTCAACCAGTCTGTTGCCCGCAGCACTGTAACAAAAATATTTCTTAGTATCATCTAAGGCTAAGTCCATAATCAAATGTTCCCAACTATCTCTTTTTTTTTAAGAGAGAGAGAGAGAGAGAGAGAATTTCAATATTTATTTTTCAGTTTTCGGCGGACACAACATCTTTGTTGGTATGTGGTGCTGAGGATCGAACCCGGGCCTCACGGGCCTCACGCATGCCAGGCAGCCCGCTACCGCGTGAGCCACATCCCCAGCCCCCCAACTATCTCAAAATATCTTTGTTAGAACAAAGAGACCCACTGAATGCAAACTTCACAGATCATTTCAGCTTTTATTCAGGAAGGGGACTACACCTATGGGAATGGACCCACTTTCCTGGTGGAAAATGAGCCACTGAACAAAGGAAGGGACTGGACTTAAGTAGGTTTTCCTGAGAGGCGGTCATATCGGTTTTCTTGGTCACGCAGGAATTTGGGGTTTGTCCTACCAATCTTGAAAGATCAGTTTGAGCTGAGCGTTTAGGAATTTGAGCTCTTGGGTCAGGGGTTTGTGTTCAGCATCTGGAGAGGACTGGCTCCGAGGAAGGTCAATGCCCTTCAGAGGCTATCACTTGAGGTGTGATGAGACACCTCCTTCCTGCCTGCAGCTAGCACCAGGAAAGCATTTGTTCACAGTGTTCTTTTTCACTTTCTTTTCTCAGGCCACATTATCTTGGGGATTTTTCATTTTCTATATCTATTAGTCTTTTTATAATTGTTCTACTTGAATTAGTATCCAATTTTTTTGAGAATTTTTTAATATTTATTTTTTAGTTTTTTTTGGCGGACACAACATCTTTGTTTATACGTGGTGCTGAGGATCGAACCTGGAACCCACACATGCCAGGCGAGCACGCTACCACTTGAGCCACATCCCCAGCCCCTAGTATCCAAATTAACCAAAAATAAGATAAAATTAAAATTAAAATAATCAGGACTATTAATAAGAGACCACAGAAACCAAAGTCAATGGAGCTAGACACGCCCCCCCCCCAAGTAATACAATAGGAATGGACCTGACCTGCTCCCCCTCCCCCACACACACACACCAAGTTTTCTCCCTTAACACAACCTGCTTTTCTGGGAATTAAACCCAGGGAAACTTTGCCACTGAGCTACTTTCCCAGCCCTCACCAAATTGCTGAAGCTGGCCTTGAATTTGTGATCCTCCTGCCTCAGCCTCCAGGCTCTGGGTGAGCTAATTGCTTATAATGCTAAGGGCTGCAAAAAAAGATTCCAAAGTGCTGGAAATCTTAGGTTCACATTGTGCAAAAGTGGCAGGGAAAATTGTCTTAATTATCTTGTGCCACGTAGCAGATTACTCCCAAGCTCAATGTGCAATACAATAACATTGTTTCAAGGTTTCTGTAGACCAGATGTCCAGCCATGGCTTATCTGGGTCCTGTGCTTCAGGGGTTCTTCCAGGCTGTAGCTGAAATGGTGGCCAGGGTTGCAATCAAACAGAACAAACCACATTCACTCACACAGTTGTTGGCAGAATTCAGTTCACAGGCTATTGGCCAGAGGCCAACCTTGATCTGAGTCTTGACTAAGCTGGTCACAACCCAGCAGCTTGCTGCATAACAGCAAAGGAGAGTGCATTCAAGCCAGACAGAAGGCGACTTTATAACCCACTCTCAAAAGCGACCTCCCATCACTTTTACCATATCCCATTTGTGAAAAATAGATTACATTTATTAAAAATCTGTTCACAAACAAGAAAAGAGGAGAGGGAGTGAATACCAGAGGGTGGACATCACTGCGATCCATTTTAGAAGCAGCTTACTGAAGACACAATCGCAAAACTCAGCCAACAGCAAGAAAATATCAAGAAGTCAGATGCAGGGACCCACCCATACAGTCCCAATTATTGAACGTCTCAAGTGTGAAATTCCATCTCAAAACAAAACAAAAGCCAGGCTAGGTGGTGCAGGCCTGTAATCCCAGAGGCTCAGGAAACTGAGGCATGAGGATCACAAGTTCAAAGCCAGCTTCTGCAATTTAGTAAGGCACTACGCAACTCAGTGAGACCCTGTCTCTAAATAAAATACAAAATAAGGCTGGAGATGTGGTTCAGTGGTTGAGTGCGCCTGAGTTCAATCCCCCCTTACCAAATCAAACAAACAAACAAAACAAAAAAATACATATTGGGCTGGGGATGCAGCTCAATGGTAGGGTGCTTGCCTTGCACATATGTGGCCCTAGATTCAATGTCCAGTATAGAAAAAATAATACACATACAAACACACACACACACACACACACACACACACACACACACATCTGTATTACTAAAAATGTAAAATTAGGAAGTGAAAAATAGCTTTAAAATTTTAAAAACAGGTCGGGCATGGTGGTGCACACTTGTAATTCCAGCAACTCAGAAGGCTGAGGCAGGAGGATTGCAAGTTTGAGGCCAGCCTTGGCAACTTTGTGAGACCCTGTCTCAAAATTAAAAATAATGGCTTGGACTATAACTCAGTCCCACTGGGCTCTATCCTTAGTGCCACATAAAAATAAATAAATAAAATAAAAGTAATTTTAAATATTAAAAAAAAATAAAAAGGAAACAAAATTGGGCCTATGGGGCTGGGGATGTGGCTCAAGTGGTAGCGCGCTCGCCTGGCATGCGTGCGGCCCGGGTTCGATTCTCAGCACCACATACCAACAAAGATGTTGTGTCCGCCGAGAACTAAAAAATAAATATTAAAAATTCTCTCTCTCTCTCTCTCTCTCTCTCTCTCTCTCTCTCTCTCTCTCTCTCCCTCCTCTCTCACTCTCTCTTTAAAAAAAAAAAATTGGGCCTATGGAAAGAAACATTTTATTTATTTATTTATAGCTGTAGTTGGTAGTTGGACACAATACATTTATTTATTTATTTATTTGTTTGTTTATTTATTTATTTATTTATATTTATGTGGTGCTGAGGGTCGAACCCAGGGATTCTCATGTGCTAGGCAAGCACTCTACCCCTGAGCCACAGCCCCAGCCTGGAAGGAAACATTTTATTTAGCAAACTATTTCTTGTAGAAGTTTGTTGCAATTTAATGTGCAGGATAAAGATCTTAACTTTTTATTCCTTAATAAAAATCAAATCCAGAATGAAAACAAAATATTTGTAAAGAAACAAATGTTGCTTATTGGTGCTTTCCTGTAATCCCAGTCACTCCGGAGATGGAGGCAGGAGGTTCACCAGTTCAAGGCCAGTGTCAGCAATTTTGCAAGACCCTCAGCAATTTAGTGAGACCCTATCTCAAAATAAAAAATAAAAAGAGCTGGGGATGTAGCTCAGTGTAGATTATCCCTGAGTTCAATTGCCAATACCATAAAAAGAAAAGAAACAAATTATTTAAAATTTATTGTATGTTTTCAATATGCTTGCATAAATAAAGGCAACTATTACCACAAAGAAAGAAACAAACTGGTGCTGGGGATATAACTCAGTTGTTAGAGTGCTTGCTTCGCATGCAGAAGGCCCTAGGTTCTAATCCCCAACACCACCAAAAAAAAAAAAAAAAAAGAGAGAAGAATAAACTGCTAAGTCAATGGAGATTTAACATATCACTTTAAACACACACAGGAAAGAATCTACTATGTGTCAATAGAGGATTGTTCAAATCAATTTTTTACATCCATAAAATTGATTTTAAGACAAAAAACATGAAGCATACATAATTTTTGAAGAGAAAAGACATGAAAATGTTGGTATAATGATCACATTTGTGGAAACATGTATGCATTCTGTASATTTTTTGTTGTTTATTTTAGAGAAAGAATTTGGGAAGTAGCATTTTCTTATTTTACATTGTACACTGTCATATATAAATGTGTTATGAAAGTAATGTAATTTTGATGATTCGGGAGAATAAAGAATTCCCTTTTTCTATTAACAAAAACAACTATCTCCTTCGGTGGTTACTAGGCAACGCTTCCCGGACCAAACCACTTTCAAAAGTGTGTGGGGGTTTTTTTCGATATTGCCCGAAGGAGGGTGCTGGGACTTGGACAAGCAGCCATCTTTGAGCCGGGCTCGGCTGTTTTTCCTTTCACAATGGAAATTAGAGTGCATGGTGGTTACTAGGCAACAGCTTGCACGGTCGCCATCTTTAAGTGGGGCACAATGTTTATCACCACGAAATGGAAATCCAGAGGGAATGTGGTTGCTAGGCAACACCCTACCACCGTCGCCATCTTTGATCGGGGCAAGTTTTGTTTTAATTAGAATATAAGTTATTAGAGCCCGTAGGATAGTTGCTAGGCAACACTTTGGCACTATCACCATCTTCACGAAATCCACTTCATTCTTCTCGTTACATAAGTGAACAACCGCGTCAGGAAGAAAGTACAAAACTTTGCCATACAATTAGCCGTCATCTTTGTTGGGGGTAATGTGACTTCCGGCTGGGGCGGAAGAGGAGCTGAGTTGGATGGAAGGCGGGAATTCAGTCGTCTACTCATTAGCTTCCCATCTCGCCCTCTGGCGGCTCCGGACGGCAGGCCGACTTAGTGTGATTACCACCAAGCTCCCAGACCAGCACTGGGGGCCCCAGGGGGTGATCGCGCGCCACGCCGCCGGGGGGTGGGTCCAAATGGGAGAGGAGGGGACCGGCGGCTCCGTGCATCTGCTGTGCCTCGCGGCCTCCAGCGGGGTCCCCCTGTTCTGCAGGAGCAGCCGCGGCGGCGCCCCCTCCCGTCAGCAGGTGGGATTTAAATAGAAGGGGGTGAGGGTGTGTTAGACTCCAAATCTTCAAGGGAGAAGCGTTTGGGGAAACTTCCGGTCTGAGTTCAGATATCCAAGGGGGACAATAAGCCTGGCTCCTGGAAGAGGGGCTACCGGGAGATATGGAAAGGGAGGGGCTCGGGAGCACAGACACTTGGGTATCTAGGAGGAGTCTTGGGGTGCTCTTGTCTAATGCCTCCAACTCCCCCCCAGCTCCCGTTCTCTGTCATTGGCTCCCTCAATGGAGTTCATATGTTCGGGCAGAATTTGGAGGTACAGCTGAGCTCTGCAAGGACCAAGGACACAACCGTGGTGTGGAAAAGCTTCCATGACAGGTCTTAGGAGGGAGCTTGGGGTGGGTACGGGCCTGGGTGATGACAGCCCATGTTGAAGAAGACCCCAGAGGCCTTGCGGCTGTTCCTCTGGCTGTGGGTCCTTGACAATCTAGTTACTCGTGGATACCTGACTGGCTGAGGGAGGATGTAACTAATATTCTAGGATCAAGGATCAGACTCTACCTATTGTCCTGTTTCCCAAGCCTGGACTCATTTTTTCTTCTCATCTTCGGTTCCCACAGCATCACCCTCATTGTTCTGTCATCTGAGGAGGGCACCTCGGAGCTGAAGCTGGAGAGACTACTCCAGATGGTATTCGGGGCCATGGTGAGAATCCCCAGTTCTCTTCTAAACCCAGAGCTTTGAGCTCTTAGCATCCTTCTCCCTCAGACCTCGAAGTCCAAGCTCCCAACTTCCTCCTTCCCCAGAACCCAGGAATTCTGGTCGTCAGTACCAGTTGTCTCTCAGACTGGGGAGTTCAGGTACTGACTCCTCTAGTAGGACTGTTGTCAAGGATTTCCTGCTCTCCTATGTGGTTCTTCTAGGTTCTTTTTGTGGGACTTGAAGAACTGACCAACATCCGCAACGTAGAGAGGCTGAAGAAGGAGTTGAGGGTGAGGCTATAGGACAGGATGGGAAGCTAAGTTGCCTATGTCCTGCCATTTGGGGACTACACTCCAGCAGCCTCTGGAGCAGCAAGACCCCATCGTTTTGGGGGCAACTTGGTTATCTGACCTTGGAGCTAGGCCCAGCATTGCCAGTTTTCTCTGGAGGAAGTAGCAGATCTGGGACCCACTTGGGTCCAGTTTCTCCCTTCTCCCTCTGCCAGGCCAGTTATCACCTCATCGACAGCTTCTTGGGGGACTCAGAACTCATCGGAGACCTGACCCAGTGTGTAGACTGCGTGATTCCTCCAGAGGGGCCTATCCTGCAGGTATTGGCAAGGCATGGAAACTCCTAAATCTGTCCCTGTGGCTCTGGTTCAGTTTCATCCTCTTTCCCTGGACCATTGTCCAAACTCCTATATTTCTGACCCTCAGTCCAGCCCCTGCTTGGCTCCGGAAGAATCTTTATGCACTGAAAATCAGCTCTGCCCCTTCCCTGCCCACAGCTCCTCCATGGCTTCCACTTGGGACAAGCTGCCAGCCCTTCAGCCTGGTTTTTAGGGCTTGTAGAATCTGGTACCTGCCAAGCTGTTACAAAATCCACAAACTATCTTTCCACCTGTCTCTCCAGCCCCACAAAATCCAACATCTTTCCAGCTTCCCAACCTTGGAACATGTTCTTCCTTCACTTGGTGAATTTCTATCTACCTTTCCCCAAATACTGCTTTTGTTCATTTACCTGGTGTGGCCACCTTCTAGCAGTGTGACTTTCCTCTGGTGACTTGACCTCTCTGAGCTTCAATAGTTCATTGATTGTGTCTACTTGGCCCATAATAGGAATCATCAGATGTTAGCTACTGCTGTTAAAAGCATCAGCTTCAGCATGCACAGGTCAGGCTGGTCAGTTTAAACAAGCCTCACAGTGTGAGTTGTGGATTGTGACTGCACAAGAAAGGTGAAGGAACTCAGAGAGGGTGAGACATAAGCTTGGCCACTCAGCAGTCTCTGAACAGTTATGTGGGCCTCCTTCCCCTCCTTGCACGTCGGGGGGTCACTGCTGCCCCTGCTCTTGACTCCTGACTTCCCGTCTGCCTCCCTTCCCAGGAAGCTCTCTCTGGGTTCGCTGAAGCCATGGGAATAGGCTTTGTCAGTCTGATGGTGTCAGGCCGGGTGGTGTCAGCGACAGAGGGATGGTGGCGGCTGGGGACACCGGAGGCCGTGCTGCTCCCCTGGTTGGTGGGATCCCTGCCACCACAGGCCGCTCGGGACTACCCAGTGTACCTGCCCCACGGGAGTCCCACGGTGAGTAGGCAGGACAGCAGGATCTGTGCCCTGGGGCAAGTGCGCCAGGGGTGGCCCCTAGAGCCCTCACCCTATCACCTGCTTCAGGTCCCGCATCGGCTCCTGACCCTCACGTTGCTACCGGGTTTGGAGCTGTGTCTGCTCTGCGGTCCGCGCCCGCCCCTCAGCCAGTTGGATCCTCAGGTGAATCAGGAGGCCGTTGAGGCTCCCCACCTGGTGACACTCTCTACCTGAGCCCCCTCCAGCGGCTTCTTCCCTCCGGGCCCGCCCTCTTCCCAGTGCTCACCAATCATTTTCGCCCTAGCTTTCCCACGCCCCCTTTCCCCGGTCCCTGCCTCGCCCCTCAGGGTCGTCCTGCGCTCCTTTCCTCTTCTGTCGCCCCCCACCTGACCACGCCCCCGCCTGACCACGCCCCCTGCAGCTTCTGGAGCGCTGGTGGCAGCCAGTGTTGGACCCGCTGCGGGCCTGCCTGCCGCTGGGCCCCCGAGGGCTGCCCGACGGCTTCCCCCTGCACAAGGACATCCTCGGGTAGGGCTTGGCGGGGAGTGGGGTGGCGGTCCTCATTCCCTCTCTTCTGGCCCTGACATCTCCTTTCCCCCAGACTGCTGCTCCTCCACCTGGAACTGAAACGTTGCCTCTTTACCGTGGAGCCTTTGCGGGATAAAGGTGACCGAGGGAGGACGAGGGCTGATGGGGAGGGCGGGGGGCCCGGGAGGGGCCCCCCATCACCGGCTCTTCAACCCCTCAGGACCTTCTCCAGAACAGCGCAGGCGCCTCCTCCGCCATTTCTACGCCTTAGTCACGAGCACACACTTCCCGCCAGGTGAGAGGCGATGCTAGGGGACACTGGAGAGACGGAGGAAAACCCAGCCCTGCTGGCCGCGGTTCCCCTGGAGCAGAGCATTGATACAGGCAGAAGGGAGGGTGTGGAGCCTCCCTGGCTTCAGACTTTCTTGGCTAATCCTACTAGTTGATGATAATGACCACAAGGCCTTTTCTCTAGTCAGTATTTTTAAATGTAAGGACCCACTCTAGGTGAGGGTCACCTGTTCTGTCATTGTTCCCATGTTGAAGGGCAGGAGGTTGAAGCTCAGCTGGGAAGGGGCCAAGCCATGATTCAGACCCTAGTGGTCAGGCTCCCCTATCCACAGGCTCCGGACACTGCACACTACAGCTAAAAGCACAGCTTTGCCCAGTGTGGGGAGTGGGGCTTCTGCAGACTCGGGTTAGAAAGAAAAGGTCGTCATAGAATCCATGAGGCCCCAGAGAAGGAAGGGACCAGATGACAGTGTAGCCCTGAAGACCCAATTAACTTAGCACATCTGTGCAGGGTCATCTGAGGCTAGACCCCTTCTGAGCTCTACAGCGCCATCTCCCCCGTCAGCTGCTCCATGAAGCTCCAGCCTGGGTGTCACAACCTACTGTCTAGCTGTGGTATCACCTGCACGTTGCTATTTGTGTTACCAAGAGGACTGCCTAGTGCCACACACAGGATTCCTGGGAAAACAAGGACCAAGACTGGGCGGGAAGAGTGTGAGCGGAGGGAGGAAGCCACTGGCCCTCTTCAGGTTAAGGACAGCCAGCTGAGCTGGAAGGCCTGCTCTGGAAGGAGGCCCCAAAGCCTGCGCCAGGGAGTCCACGCAGACTCCAAACCTGGGCCTAGGGTGGGGAGTGGCTTTCAAGGTTAGCACCCTTGCTGAGTCCCACTGGTCGCCTCAGTTCTCCCTGTCCTTCCCCAGAGCCACTGGACAAGGTGGAGGATGATGTCAGCCGGGCCCAGCTGCCTCGAGCCTGCTACCTTGTGTTGGGTCCCGAGGAGCCAGGCACGGGCTTGCGACTGATAGCTCTGCAGCTGGGGCTGCGGCTGCTGCTGCTGCTGCTGGCTCCTCAGAGCCCCACCCATGGGCTGCGAAGCCTGGCCACCCACACACTGCACACCCTCAGCCCGCTCCTTTGAACCACCCAGGACGGACAGCCAGCAAAGACGGACAGCCAGCAAAGACGCAGGGCTGTTAGCGTCTCTCTGTTTATTTGCTCACAATAATACACAGCCCCTGGACGGGGAGGGGTTGGAGGGGCAACGGTGGGGAGGGGTGGGAGGGGAGGAGGCGCCCACTTCCCTGGCCCCTCTCCCCTCTGTGCTTGGGGGGGAAGGGAGGGAGGGGCTCCCCCTTGCCCCCCCAGAATGTAAACAGCAGCAGATGAACAAAAATAAAAATACAAAAGGCCGGAGGAAGGTCCCAGGCATCCCCCTACCCCTGGGGTCTTCCCTGTCGCCAGTGGAGGTCCCCTCACTGCCCCACCCACCACAGCTGCCTCAGTTCTAGGGCTGCCTGGTGATGGCCACATCCCCCGGGCGGGGTCCAGGGCTCAAAACTGCTGGGCCAGCAGCTCACACAGGTGGCGGGAGACAGGCTCCTTGCTGGTGCGCAGGGTCAGCCGATACATCTGGATGGGGACATTGGGGAAGGACTCAGAGGAAACAGAAGCCAGAGGGGAGAGAGCCCAGGAGAGGGTGACACAGGGAAGATGAGAAATGAGGGAAGGATAAAGGAACAAGAAAGGTGGGGAAGACATGGAGAGGCAGAAATCGGGTAAGGAAGAGCAGAGTGTGGAGGAAGATGGAGGAAGCAGGAACACAGGCCGGGTCAAAGAGGGGGATGGGATTAAAACAGCAAGGCTAAGGAGACTGGGGTACAGGATGCACCCAGACTGAGGGTACAGGTCAGCCTAGGAGTCAGCCCCCCTCAGCAAAACACACCTGAGCCTGCGCATTGGGCTCCAGCCGCAGCAGACAGCCCACCTGCAGGGCTTTCGTCTGGATGATTCCAGCTCCCACAAAGTTCTCAGGGTTGGGGTCCACATTGTCCAGGAGAGCTGAGCCAAACCCCAGAAGCTGTGKGGGGGAGTGGCTGTCAGTGCCAGAGCTCTGCAAGCTCCCAACAACATCCCTGTCTCCCAAATCCTTGTTTAAGGGAACTGATCCCCGTACAGGTGGCAGAACAGGCTCAAGGAAGTCAAGCAGTCACTTTGCGGCAAACGCGTGCCCCCTCCTCACCTTGGCCTTGGTAACTTCCGCATCCATGGGGTGGTTGGCTTTGAAGATTTTCTGAGCCTCCTGCAGCGGGCTGGGAGGCGGGGGAGGCAGAGTCAGGGACCTGGCACCCCCCCAACGCGCCCCCAGCTAAGGCCAGCCGCTCTGCCCCTGCTGCTCACAGGCTCAGCTGCTTCCAGCGCTGGAAGAAGTCCTGGGCCGCCATCTCCGTGGGCTGGAAGAACTTGTTGATGGTCACCGGGAGCTTTAGGGTGAGGGACTGCGGGGCGCCACCATACCTGGCAGAAGAGGAAGGGCTCCGTCAGGCCCGGCACACTCACCCTGGAAGCCCTGCCTTCCTGGGAGCGCTGTGCCAGTGCCGAGCAACTCACCGGAAGCGAACCGACAGCAGGGGTGGCGTCAGGAAGTCCCGCAGACACTCGATGTTGAGCACTTGCTGCACCTGCGCTCCGCCGTCCACCTGCGCGGCCACGCGCTTGGTCTGCACAGCCAGCTGTGTCCCCCAAAGGTCAAGGAAGCCAGGGGTACTGGTGGGATGCCCTAAGGGGATCTTGGCCACAACCCTGGATTTCTGGCCTTTGAGGAGCCCCGAAGGCAAGAACCAGCTCCTAGGCAGAAGCCTTGGAGCCACCTAGCTGCCTCTCTGGACTGGAGGCCTTTATTGTGGCTCTATTACTGGCTGGGACGTGGGGACCCGCGCTGACTCCCTGCTCTCACCAGTTGGTGACTGTGGGCAAACTACTTAATCTCTCTTGTCCTCATCTGCAAGATGGACATGTGTACAATGTCCTCAGGAGTCACTGAGAAAATTTTTCTCAAGTACTTGTCTGTTACACACAGATGGTGGCCATTAGTGTGGTCACTGTGTCATTCACACCTGCCATCATGTCATCTACCCACCTACAAGGCCGGGTCACAGCACTCCCACCCTAACCCATATGCTGCACAGAGCTGCCCCCAGATTAATGAAGCACAAAACTGAAAAGGTGGGCTGGGGACGTGGCTCAGGCGGTGCGCCTGGCATGCGTGCGGCCCGGGTTCGATCCTCAGCACCACATACCAACAAAGATGCTGTGTCCGCCGAGAACTAAAAAATAAATATTAAAAATTCTCTCTCTCTCCTCTCTCTCTCTCTCTTTAAAAAAAAAAAAAAAAAAAAAAACTGAAAAGGTGCTCTGAGTTTCGGGGTCTAGCCCCTCTAATTTCACAGAAGGGGGAGAAGACTGGCACCGCCAGACACGCTTCCAGAGTGTTTCAACTGCTCTGATCTTCCAGAGCAGCCCTATGAGAAGGAAGAGGAAGACCTATGCCTGCAGATGGGTTAGGAAGGCTAGGAGAGGCAAAGTGACTCGGCCCAAGTTCCACAGAGAAGTCCCTGCGGGGGGACCTAGAGCCAGCTGTGGCTCCAAGTGCTGGAGGCACTGGCAGTGCAGGCATGAAGCCTGACACAGGACCACATCAGGGCATGGGAGGCCTCATAGGGACAAAATAAGGACGAGGGCAGCTGCAATTCTGAAAGTCATGTCTCCTGCACATCATTCATTATCATCTGTCCCTGGGGGAAGAGATCCAGAAGCCCAACTTACAGATGATGACACCAAATCTCAAGAGATGTAACCACATGCCCAAGGTCTCACAGTACTAGGGCTAAACAAGTCTGGACGTCGGTCTCTCGGTTTCCTAGTGGGCCAGGCCTGACAGGATATGAGTCTGGAGGTCTCCCGGGTGGACAACGGTGGGCGAGAAGTTTTGGAACTGCACTGAGGTCTTGTTGCCATAGAAGAGATACATGCGGCCTGGGGTGGGTGGGGAAGCGGGGCTCCATCTGAGTTCTGACCTCATCCCTGGCACCAGCCAAGTTCTCCCACCAACCCTTTCCCTATAGGGCAGTGGAACACACCCAGGTTCTGCCGGAACTCAGACTTGACTCCAATCTGCAGTAGCTGGTTCTCAAACAGGACCCCGTTATTCTTGCACACAAACCTGGACGGGATGGTGGGGAGTTTAGGATGGCAGGGTGCCTGGCCTGGACTCCCCACTTGTCCCTGTCACCCTTGCCCACCTCTCCTGGGACTCACTTATTCAGCAGTTCATCAGCTTCGGGGATGGGAGGGCCGATGTCCTCAGGACCTGGGCTGGGGATGGGGAAAGGAGTGAGACATGAAGGAAATTGGGGGGCTGGAGGAAGAGGGTACAAGACACAAGCCCGAGAAGGTCAGAACCCCAGAATTCACATGCCCAGCCTCTCCAAAGAACCTCAGAGAATTCTAGAATCAGACCAGCAGCTGCCACCAATGCAAATGGGACCCTGGCAAATGCCTGCGCCCCACCAGGGGGCCTCAAGTTTCACTTTCCTCCAATCCCTGCCTCCGCTGATCATCAGAAACCCCTTGACCAGAGTGCCCAGTCCCCAACCCACCCTGGGACCACCAGAGTCTGCCCCCACCCGGAGTCCACCCCTTACTCAGCAGCTGGAGCTGGGTCGGCCAGCAAAGCCATGGGGCTCTCAGGGGCAGGCGGCTCCAGCTCGCTGGGCCATCCAATCCCAGAGCAGACAGAGAAGACAGGTGCGGCAGGCAGCCAATCCCAGAGAGGCAGCAAAAGGGTCAAGAGAGAGAGAAAGGGAGAGGGAAGGAGAAAAGGAAGAGCAGACTAAGAAATGGTGATGGGAAAGAGAACACAGGGTGGCCAGAGGGAGGCAGCATGGGGCTGGCAAAGGCATCAGGGACAGAGGAGTGTGGGGAGGGGCTGAGCAGAAACGGGGCAGAAGCCGAGGGGCCAGCCCTGGGAGGGGAGAGGGGAGACAGGCAGCAGTACCTGAGGAAGGCCTGCTCAGGGGTGGGCCCCAGGCTGGGCTGGGCAGTCGGGCCATCAGAGAAGACGTCCACCAGGAGGTTCCCAGCACCTGCAGGAGCTGGGGGTGCCGCTGGGGGAGGGGCTGCCCGCAGCCCCAGGAGGTCGGCGGAGGGCGAAGGCGTGGACTGTAAGAGGTGGGGGTGAAGCTGAGCCCAGGCGGCCACTGCAGGACCCAGCCCCAGCCAAGCATGTGGGCCTCTCTGTGGGGCTCACCACGGTACTGGGCGTGGGCTCCACACCCCCATTGATGTCATTGCTGCTGGCGTCCCTTCGGCCATCATCCAGAGCGCTGCCGGCCCCTGGCCCCTTCTTGCGCTTCAGCTTGGCCAGGATGGAGGACTCGCGCTCAGGGAAGGGTGGCATCTCCTCCAGCACTGTGGCCTGCGGGGGGGATGGGCGGGTCAGGCAGGGGCCCTCAGTCCTAAGAAGAGGGAGGACCCGTGGAGGTGGGCAGACGCTGACCAGGACGTCCGTGCTGGCCACCGAACTGAGGGTGAGGTACTCCACGGCGCGCTGCTGCAGCTCCACGTCGGCGTTGCGCAGCTGGGAGCCGGCTCTCAGCACGCCCTGGATGGTGGCCTTGGTCTCGGGGAAGAGGTTGATGAACTTGATGTAGGTGGACAGCAGCAGGGCTCGTGTGGCCACGCTGCACAGGTGGAACTTGGAGTGGAGCAGGGAGAACTGCACTGGGGGGCTGAGCAAGGGGCTGGGTCAGCAGCAGCTGGGCACCACCACCCTGCACAAACCCCTCAGGAGCTGCCTCCCCCGGGAGCCCTCTCCAGGACCACGGGCTGGCCCAAGGGGCAGACACTCCCCAGGCCAGCGGTCACTGCATCATCCTGTCCCAGACTCCTGGGACTTGGGTTCTCTCTTACCGGGTCAGGCGGTTGGAGTGAAAGGCCAAGGGAATTCCTGGAGACCCATCATTATCAGCCCTGAGACTCCTAGAGGTTCCCCATGCTCTGGACCCCTCAGAAGCTCAGGTGTTCACCCCCCAGCCTGAGGCTCCCTCACCTGGAGCGGGGGTCTCCAGCAATTAGGTTCCCAAACTCCCCGAGGATGTAGCCACCAACCTTCACCATATTCTCATGACAGGCTGGGGCCTGGAGGGCCTGGGGGGAGGAGGCCAAGATAAGAAGGAGAGGGTCAGTGGCTTTGTGCACTGCATGCACCAGGCACAGGACTAGGCCCCGCGTGCTGTTAACAGGTGGAACCTTTGTAACACAGGTGGGACTACAGATAGGGCGACAGGCACAGAAAGGTTAAGGACTGGCCCATGCTTACACAGGGAGGAAAATGGGGCAGCACTGGGCCTCCTTCCCTGGGCACAGGAAATGGAAACTACCAAGACCCATGGATGGAACACTACATGCTGGGCAGCCACAACCATGCCCTGTGGACTCTCTATCAGGCTCAAGAAGCCACAGGTCCTGTGCCTTGGGTAGTCCAGAGGGGCAAAGGCACGGAGCTGGGGGCACAGTGCAGGGGCAGCAGCAGGATGTTGGCCTGGGTCCCACAGCCCAGCTGTCCTTGTTCAGCATCTGTCCTGACATGGGGGTCGCAGTGAAGGATGCTGACCTCAAAAACAGTCTTGGCGGCGTAGCCCTGGACGTCGTCACGATTGGTGACAATCTGCAGCACACGGTACCACACCTCCTCACTCACATAGTCACCAGCAATGCGGATGAGGTTGAGGATGGTGTCCACGTACCAGCTGTAGTCCACCGCATACTTCTCAGCCAGGATGGCCACCTTCAGTACCTGCCACAGGAAGGGAGCAGGAGAGGCTTTTGGTTGACCAGGCGGGAGCAGCTTGGACTCACCTGGGTCTTGGCTCACCACTGTCCTCATCTGGAGACCCAGGAGTCTAGGTCCCGGGCCTTCTCTCTGACCCAGAAGTCCAGGCTCCAGTCCACTTCAGACTCACAATCTCTTCGCGGATGGCGTAGTCAGCCGTCTCCAGGTACCGCAGCATCTCTGACACAATCTGCTTGGCGTTGCTCCGGTCACACATGGCATACAGGAGGTCGGCTGCCCGCTGCCGAACACTGACATCCCGCTCCGTCTGAGGGAAGACAGCAGGGTCAGGCTGGGTTCTAAGCTCCCTTGGGGCACAGCGCTGGCCACTCAAGGGC